CTTCAGAGGGAGTCAGGCGTCGATACTACACTTGGGTTATATGGCAGCATGCGGGCTGACTGAGCAAGTCTCCTCCCTTCTCTGAACCTCAGTTTCCTCATTTATAAAGGGGGGGGACTAGGCACCCCTGGGGCCTACGGTAGTCTCAGCACTACCACTGGGGCCTGAGTTCGACCCCGGCCAGGGAGCTGACCCACATGGTGCAGCAGACCGCTCCCGGTCCGCCCGCCGCTCCCCTCAGCAGTGTGTTTCAGTACATCTGTCCGTTCTGCTCCCCACTCTGTCCCTGATGAACCCCCTCACCTCTGCACCTATGGCCTACACCCCAGTTCTTCTACACAAAGATAAAATATTTTTTAAATAAATAAAAATTAATTAACAAAAATAAAAGGGGGTGGAGTGGCCCTCCCTGGTGGTGCAACGGGTTAAAGGACAGTACTATGAAATTCTCAGCAGCCACTGTAGCTTAAGTTCGATCCCCGGCCAGGGAGCTGACCCACATGGCACAGCAGACCCCTCCTGTCTCGCCCGCTGCTCCCCTCAGCAGTGTACTTCATCTATCTGCCTGTTCTGCTCCCCTGTCTCTGGTGAATCCTCTCACTGCCCCTGTACCTTTGGCCTGCACCCCAGTTCTGTATGCATAAATAAATAAATATTAATAAAAAATAAATAAAATTTATATAAATATTGTTAAATACTATTAAATTTATTAATAAATAAATTTTTTAAATGAAAACAAAAGGGGGCTTTTCTTCTGGATCGAATGCACTGCCCTGTAAGTCGCTGGTAGATGGTTACGATGTAGACACCACTTTATTTAAGACAGTGTTTTTCTCAGCAATATGAATTAGGGAAGAAATACATAAAAGCACAGCCTGGGTGAATGTGGTTCTGCCTTCTCCCTCCCCAGGGATGGGACTAAGCCACTGGATGGTGGTGGCACCTCTGGGTGCTGTGGCCCAGAAGGTCAGGGCTGCTATGCCAGTGTGTGCAGGTGCCCATGGGACCCCATGGACGGGGCTTCAGCAGTCCTGGGAGTGAGCTCATCTGTTACTTTCCAGTAAGCGTGGGGGACTTTGCTTCCCACTCCAGACCCTCCCAAGCAGAAGGGGCTGCCTGGTTGCCATGCCCGTGGGTGTGACCGTGCCCTCTCACCCCCTGCCTACTTCCTGACGTCCTCACCGAGCCAGCGCGGTACCTGCGAGAGGTGGACACACAAGGAGACCCCGGCCTGGGAGTAGTCGATGTTGGGAGTGGGGGAGACATACATGTTTTCAACCAGCAGTGAGGAAGGTGACCCTGAGACCATCCAGGGACCTAGACTGTGGCCCGGGGGAGGGCTGGGTCAGTTCTGCTGGAACTTCTGATCGGCTAAGAGAAGCCACAACTCCAAGTTTTTTTTTTTTTTTTTAAAGATTTATTTATTTGTACATACAGAACTGGGGTACAGGCCAGAGGCTCAGGGGCAGCGAGAGGCTTCACCAGAGACAGAGTGGGGAGCAGAACAGGCAGATCGACGAAGTACACTGCTGAGGGAGCAGCAGGCGGGTCAGGAGAGGTCTGCTGTGCCATGTGGTCACCTCCGGGGCAGGTGGGAATCGAACTCATGCGGGAGCGGCTTTATCTTCTCAGTGCTGTGCTTTAACCCGCTGTGCCACCAGGGAGGGCCACAACTCCAAGTTTTTCTGTAAAAAGTGTTCTTGATTTTAAAAAGCAAGCAGTGTGCAATGTTTGGTGATGGCACGATTGGGTGTTCTACGGGCATCAGGCCAGTGGGGCACTGGACACAACAGAGCTGGCCATGACCGCGGACCCTGGGAGGACCACTCTGGGAAAGGCCCCGGGTCTGCCTGAAGGCTCTGCTTGCCGCCGTTTTGGAATCTTTAGCAATTTTTTTAAAAGATGTATTTTTATTAATTTATGCACACAAGAATGGGGGTACAGGCCAGAGGTGCAGGGGCAGTGTGTGAGAGGATTCTCCAGAGGCAGAGTGGGGAGCAGAGCAGGCAGATCGATGAAACACACTGCTGAGGGGAACAGCAGGTGGGTAAGGAGAGGTCTGCTGCGCCCTGTGGGTCACCTCCCTGGCTGTCTACAGCTTCTTAGTGCCGAGATTCAACCCCTAGTGCCCAAGGGCGGCCCTGGATTCTCTAGTAATTTTTAACAAGGCCCTAAGTTTCATTTTACACTGTGTGCTGCAAATTACTAGAAGGAGCGCCCAGTCTATCTGCTGGGTGAAGAGGGTGGAGGAAGGTCTAGAAACGCTTCCAAGAGGGGTTGGCTGGACCCGAGGGAGGAGATGAGCAGTGTGAATAAAGGACTGGACAGGTGGGCCTGGAGCTCACTTCACTGGGGAGGGGGCAGCCAATATGTGTGATAGGTGTGTGTGTGTGTGTGTGTCTGCGTCTGTGTGTGGCTATGTGAGAGCCAAGTTGTGTGAGATCGGTGCATGGTGTGGAGTGAGTGTGCTGTGGCGAGAGCCTGCGTGTGTGAGTGTGCCAGTGAGTGTGGTGTGTGGTGGTGGCAGGGCAGGGAGAGGCTAGAAGTCACAGGCTGTTTGACAAATATTTATTGAGCACCTTCTCTGTGCCAGGCGCTGTGGAGGTGCTGAGATGAGTAAGCCCGTCCTTGCCCAGAGGCGCTCACAACCCCTGGAGAGACGGTAAACAGATAACTGGAAAAGAGCTTTATTGAAATAAACTCTTGGATAAAAATAAACCTCACCTGCTTCACCCAGGTGGCGGGTAAAGCTAGATTTCCCTGGAATTGGGCGGGAGGGGTAGACGATGGGGGTAATCCAGGCTGCCTCCCCTCCCCCTTGCGGGCACACCCAAACTCGGGAGGGGTGACCTCCCTCTGACCTGCCCAGCAGCACACCCGATCCCACAGAGGTAGATAAGAGGTGACCAGCAGCTCAGGGCAGGACCGAAACGGCCCAGCCCTGCGGCCTCCTCTCCGCCACCCCTCAGCCTGGGCCACACCCAAGGAGACACAACCCCCCAGGGTGGAGAAAGCCCCCACCTCTGAGTGGGAGTCTGTTCAGTGACTTTTGACCTGGTGAGAGCTAGAGGTAGCCACGGCTGATACCCGAGAGAGGGGGCTAAACTGTGTCCCCAGACTCTGCAGGGGCCTGAGGCAGGAGGGGAGAGGCAGTGCTGGGCAGAGCTGATCTCTCTGCCTCCCTTCCCCAGTGCTGCCCCCAGCAGTGGCCTGGCCTCGAAGCTTCCCCCACCCCCCAGCAGAAGACCTGGCTCCCACTCACCCGGGCTGGTGACCTTGGACTGCCACCAGCCCCCATCAGGATCACGGGGAGGCCCAGTCTCCTCAAAGGGCTGTGGTGCGGATCAAATGAGATAATGGGATGAGGAAAGCACCTCATAAACTGAAAATGGCAGGACAAAGGTCGGAGAAGAGCGCAGGGCCTGCTGGCAGCTGCCTCCCAGCCCTGTGGCAAAGCATCGGGGGCTTGGCCCCCTCATTCCCAGCTCCCCTGCCCCCTGCACATCCTCCGTGACCATCTCCTGCCCTGTCTCCTTCGCACAGCTGAGGAAACCGAGGCTGGAGATCGCAGGGGTAACACCTCCTCAGGGTGTGAGGCGCTCCAAGGTAATGTGGGTTGGGAAATTCACACAGCGCTCCACACAAGTTAACTGTCAGGAAACAAGGATGTTTGTAGCTTTAGGGACTGAAGGATCCCAGCTGATTAAATGGCCTGGCCAGCAGGTGATCGGCAGAGGCTAAGCTTGTGGCCCTGATCTTTAGCAACTTGCCTTAACGCGCTCACTCTGTAGCAGGGAAACGTCTTCCCGTGGCTCCAGCTGATCTAGGTTCTTTCAAGATGCCCTACTCCCTCAGCCCATGTCCCTGTTCTTTCTGCCATTCCTTAATTCTCCACCACAAGCCCCACTTCTCTCTCAGACTGTGTCTCTCATACACGTGTGTGCGCGCACACACACACACGCAGAGTTTATGAAGATCCCTTCTTCAGCTACATGCCTTCCGTGAATAATCTGGTATCTCTCAGACAACAGCATATCCAATTTACAAAATGTGCGTTTAAAGCCTCAAGCTTAAGGAACTCTCTGCTGGAAGGTTTTCTCCGTTAAGTGACTCCACATATAGTTCCCATCAGTCCAGTGCTCTAAACCCAGCTGCATCCTCACTGCGGAGGCAAAGTGACACTTTTCTGGAATCTACAGAGTCCAAACCCTGAGATGCTCCCAGGGAAAAGCCGCAGGACAGCAGGAGGCGCTGCCTGGGTGATAGTGGCCGTACACCGGCCAGTGACCCTCACTGCACGCACCTGCAAACTGGAAATGAGTCTCACGTCTCCTGGGGAGGGTGAAGCAGGGCTGGTGGCGTCTAGCACGGCGCCTGGTGTGGATGAGGGGTCTGAGGGTCTGCTTTGTCCCCCACTTTCTCATCCAGGGCTCATCATCTCCATTTTATTTGTTTTTCCCTCCACAAGATCATGACTCTGATTTCATGTCAGACAACGAAAGCTAGGATTCAGATTACAGATATTCAGCTTACAGCCAACTTGTTTGGAATGCAAAAGGCTCTCCTCCACAAGGCCAGACATGCAATGCTAGACTTCGTAGGGAACATCGGGTCCAAACCCCAGCCTTGCAGCAAGGAAGCGGGGCAGGCCCGAGGAGGACGACTTGGCCAAGGTCACCGAGCAAATGTGAGGTCCAGCGGATGCCCAGCCCCGCGCTTAGCTTCCCAGGCGCATGTCCTTGCTTGCATGAAGTCTTGAGTCTCAGAGGTGAAGTCTCACCTGTTCTCTTTGCCTCCTCCCCGCTCCCAGCCAGCAGGTCTGTAAAACTTGGCCTTCCTGATACAGAAAATCCATTCCCACCCTCCCTCAGCTTTGCCTTCACCTTCAGCCTGCTAGACCCCTGCCACACTCCCCTCCCCAGCCTAATTCCAATCCACAGGCCCAAATTTCAGCACACAGGTAGCTAAGACAAAGGTTAGAAAAAGCCCAGAAGGCACTTTATTGGAGACTTTTGCCTCCACTCACAGGAGAAAGCAGCCAGGAGCCCGCCGAAGGGTCCCAGCACCACCCCATCCATCCCTCACTGGCTCAGCTCAAGGTCTAGAACAGTCTGTGTGGCCACCAAGCTTGGGAGGAGCAGGGAGGGGAACGTCTTAGAAAAAATAGATCTCTACGTACATCTGACATATTTATAGCACATAAATTAGGTGCTCCGACCCCCGCTGGTTGATCCAAGCACTGAGAGGGGAGGTGGAGCCAGTCCAGAGAGATTGTGGGGAGAGCCCACTGCCCCTGCTGCTGTGCCCTGAGTCTCCTCACCCTCCTTGGCTCAGTCCAGGCGTCTCCAGGAGGCAGACTGCCCACAGCTGGTGTCTAGACCAGGTCCAGGGCGGCACCCTATACAAGTAGCTGCATTGGCAGCCAGTCAGAGGACTGGTGATTTCAAACTCCAGGGCTTGTAATTCCAAGAGGAGGACAAAGAGGGGAGGCCAAGACCCCCAACCTCAGGCTGACGGTGACAGGAACACAGCCTCCACGTCTCTTCACGCATAGCATGGAGCATGCCCAAACTGTGGCATGCTGTGGTGCCTAAGGCCCGGGAGGGTCTGTAGGCCTCAATGTCCGTCCGTGCGGTCCCAGGTCTCCTTCGGACCCTCAGTTCCGACCGTTAACCTCTTCCTCTTTCCAGCCACTAGAGTTCTTGCCAAACTTGTAGACGAGGCGCCGGCCATCCACGCGCTCCAGGATCTCACGTTTGTAGTAGTACCTGGGTGGGGAGAAGCGAGGTCAGTCCTGCTCAGGTGCCCTGGCCCACCTGGTCTCCAGTCTGAATCAACCCGAGCCCCATTTCCTCTCTCCTCTCTCCTGCCCCACCTCAAGGAGGAGCTGTCTTTGCACCCTGGCCTAGAACCGTGTCCACAGGACCTGCCTCTAATCTTGCTTCTTTGTGTCTTATGACTACATCCTGGGCCTTGTCATGAAGCCACATGGTTTTAGGTCTGGAAGGGATCTGAGCCAAGATCCAGTAGGAAACTGAGACCCCAGTAGGGAGAGAGCCAGGCCTCCTTCACCACTAAGTGCCTGTCTTAGGACAAACTTGCAGATAACACAGTTAGGTAGTTAACTGTGCTCTCTGGACGCCAGCCTACTACTGTCTCTGTGTTATCATTTGATCCAGGAGGTAGGCAGGCGCCGCTATTATCTTCCCTCTAACAGGACTCAATCCAGCCAGGTGGTCCGAGAGCAGGACACACGCACCACCTCTGGAAGGATCCAGCAAGATGGTGAGCGTCCCGGCCGCCCCTCACCTCATGGCCCTGCTCAGCTTCTCGTAGGTCATGCTGTTGTTCTTTTTCTTTTGGCCCCACAGTTGGGCCACGGCCTCAGAGCGCAGGAATTTGAAGACACCCTCTTGCCGGTTCTCCCACTTCATGAGGCCCTCGTTGAGCTCTGGGTTGATAAGGATGTCCCGGATGAACTCCCACAGGTGGGTGCCTCTGGGGGCTACAAGGCCAGATTCCATCAGCCAACGTGTCCGATAGCCTCCCCCCAGGCCAGCTGGCAGGCCGGGCCTCACGGCCTTGCTGCAATGGTTGCTCCCTCCTGCCTCCCCCAGCAGACATGGAGCTCCAGGACGGAGCTCACATGGCACAGACGCTAACTCTCCCTCGGGTATTAGGCACACGTTCAGTTAGGAGACGATAGAGCTGGGTCCGAGGAGCTCCCAGCTCAGTGGGGGCCACAGTCAAGAAGCAGACACACCAGCAGGTGGTGCAAGCTTGGCCTGTCCAGGACCAGAAAGGGAGCGATAACCTCCTGTGGACAAGAAACGGCCAGGCCTCCTGTGTGTACCAGTGAAAGGGCCCTGCCGGGTAAGAGCACACGGGCAAGGAAGTCAGGGCGCATTCTCCCGGGGTTCACAGTGGCCGGCCACACTCAAGGCCCGAGGCTGGCGGGCACAGACTCGAAGGTGGGGGGCCACCCTGCCCCAGGCATTATCAAACTGGGAGTCACCTCTGCCTGCGTCTCCTCAGTGGAGTCCCAGCTGGCAGGACAGTGGCCCAGGGCAGTGAGAACTGGACTGAGGTGGGGGGGGGAGTGGGCAAGAACCTCTAGTCCAGTAACCTTCCTCCAGGAGCCTCAGTTTCCCCTCCTGTCTTGCACCACCATCCCAGGAGCTCACCATGCTTGGTCTTCTTGCCCTCCAGACACTCCCGGGACTCTTTGCTCAGCTTTCGGGGCCGGCCTCGTTTCCGCTTCCCGTGCTTTGGGTCCCCCTTCTTATAGTCAGGAAAGCCATCTATGGGGGACAGTGGACAGAGAAAGGGTGATGTCAGCCCCTTATGGGAAAACTGCAGGAAAGCAGGGCTGAGAGGTAGGGCCTGCTGAAGCTCTACCCCTGGGGAGCGGGCGCCCCACTCACCACTGGAGAAGAGCTTGCCATCTGTGGAGTCCAGGTCCACATCACTTCCACCGGAGTCTGAGGAGTGGGAACTCTGAGAAGTGCCGGTCCCTGGGAAGGTGGGGCAGAGTGACTCACCAGCCCACAGCAACCTGGCCGCCGTGCCCACTGGGGACGCCATACCTGAGCAACCCCTGGTCCTCCCAGAAGCAAGGCTTCCAGTGTGACAACAGGGCTTGCGAGCACACGAGGGAGGGAAGCTGCGGCCCCAGGCAGGCCTCACCTGTGGTGGAGACGTCGGAGCTGCCCGGGGAGGGGGCGCCCGCGCCGTAGCTGCCAGGGTAGTAGGGGCTGGCTTGCCGGGAGTCGTCCAGCATGTCCTGGATGAAGGGGCTTCCCTGCTCTGGGAAGAGAAGGTGAGACTTCAGCTGGGCACAGAGGAGGGCAGCTAACTAAGGCTGCCTGGTGACCAGCTGAATTTGAGCTTGGGGGGGGCGACAAGATGTCTGGGGAGGGAGGATCATCTCCAGGGCTGGGGAGGGGTGGACGTGGCATAGGATAGGCTGAGGCAGGAGGGAGAAAATGGGCTCTCACCCCCGAAAGAGCTGGCGTCTCCCACAGTCTCCTGGAAGGCCATGCTGTCCTTCTCCAGCAACTCGATGATCCAGCTGAGCTCGTCAGGAAAGCTGGAAGCTGATCAGTAGGAGGGAGGGTCAGGGCTGGGGCTTGGGGGCTTCCGTCTGGCCGTGCCCACGGGTCTCCCCACACGCAGCCTACACTGAACTGGGTTCCCCAGACAGGTGCTCAGCCCCGGTCCAGCCCCCCTCCCTGAGAAGGAAGCCCCCCGCCCTGGCGCCCGGTGGCACTGGACTCACTGAGGTCCCACAGCTGCGAGTAGAGCTGGTCCCCCAGGGGCCCGAAGACCAGCCGCAGCTCCTCGGGGGCACAGCTGCAGAGGGCGGCCCCGTCCATGTCGCACCGCGAGAAGTCGATGGAGCTGGTGTCGTACTTGTTCTTCTCCACCTGGTAGCTGATCCAGTCCAGCACCTGGGCCTTGGACCAGAACTGAGGCTGCTCCCCTGACCAGCTGGCCTTTTCTGCAAGAGGGCAGGCACAGTGACAGGTCGGCTCGTGCCACCGGCGGCCCCTCACAGCCCCCGTGTGGGTTTAGACAACCCTTCCAGGAAGGGCTGGGATTCTCGAGATGCCCACACCCCAGTCTCTTCTAGGTCACCCAGCCCCTAGCCCTGAAATTTGCTGCGAAGACTTTCTTCCCTGCCCGATCCCCATGTATCTTAAGAGCGTCTTAGATGGATCTTCCCCGCTCTCCTAAAACCGCTCCCGCCCTGCTGAGGACCCACCTGTGCCCTCCAGCGGCATCTGGGGGTTGCTCAGAGTCAGCACCAGGTCGTCAGCCCCAAAAGGAGCAGCGGGGGTAACAGGGGTCTGAGTGGAGTCCTCTGAGCTGTACATAGTGTTGAAGTAGTTGCTGAAAACGTTGCTAATCTCGCAGGTTGCGGCCATGAGGCTACCTGGGGAGAAAAGCCAGTGAGAGACCATGCTGGCCCCCAGGCCCTCTCGCTATACAGTTCTAGCCCAGCCTGAGGCGGGAGAAGCCCGAAACGGGCACACAGGTCAACATGGCTTCAGACACCCTCCTTTCAAGAAGGGCTAATGGTGTGTATGCCACCTGCTAGGCTCCCTACTCAGCCCACCTGGGCCTGTGGGTGGGCCTGGCAGAGTCAGGCCAATCTGTCCTCCCCAGGACAACCCGTCAGGGCCAGCGACCCTCAGCTCACCTCTTCCCACCCCGCACCCCACCTCCATCCCTTGCTCTGGGTCTCTAGCCTGTGGACTGCAGTGGTCGCTGTCACAAATGCAGGCTCACTAGCCCCCTCCCCAACTTCCCTGGGCCCAGGCTGGGGACTGTGACAGGTGGGGGTCCTACCGGGAATGGCGGATGCGGGTGTGGCCAGCAGGCAGGCAGGATTAAGGGACAGCAGGTGGGCGAGAAATCCGGGAGGGAAAAAAGCTCAGCCAGGTAGCGCTGGGCTTCTGGCCCAGGGGCTCCCCCACCCTCCCTAAATAAAGGCTGCAGAAGCTCCACCCGGCACTCAGGCTTTATAGCCCAGCCGGGCGGTAATCCGAGCTGGTGGCTCATTGGATGGTGGGGATTTCCTGGCCTTTAGACAGGGCTCCTGGCCCCAGGTGATTTGCATATTTTGTGCCACTTGGCCGGGATCCTAGCAGGCGGTGCTGGGAAATCAGGCCCAGCTGGTTTAATGATTGTCGGAGCCTGTCATCCTGTACCCGCTGGGGTTGGGCACAGGGCACCGGGCTGGGCTGGTGGCGGGAGCGTCTGGGGTGGGCATCTGTACTTTCGGCCACCCTCCGGCTCAGGAAATTCCTTTCGGGGGCCAGGCCAGGGATGGGCTAGAGAAGGGGGGCAGCGTGAAGGGGGAATCTGACCTCTTGACTGACCTGCGTCAGAAGGGAACACATTTGAGGACAAGGGAGAAAAGACTGCGATGTGGGAGTTTCCCCACAGTGGCCAGGATTCAGGTGAAAACTGTCAGGACCCTAGGTGACATTCGCGGCTAATGGGTGGGCTGGGCTTGCCAGCCTGGCCCAGGGCCCAAGAGCCACACGGCTGGGTTTCTGTGCCTCCCGGGGCCCCAACTAAGCATCAGGATTGCTGCGGCCACTTCTAGGGAACCTGGCTCCACTGGAAAGTTCTTCCCTCAGTCCCTGGAGTCCCTCTGTGCCTCAGGGCAGCTGGAGGTGCTGGAATCCGTGGAGCTCTTTACCCCTCTATCCAGACGCCCATCTAATCTCAGCCTAGTCCAGCCGGCCGGCGCCTGTCTGCTGCCCTCTAGTGGCCAGAAGCCTGACTGCCCGGGTCACGTCTACAAAAGGAGGAAAGGGCAGGCCCTTCTGCTGTTAACAGTGTCTCGCCCCGGTCCCCACGAAAACCCTGGAAGGAATGTTTGTTTATCTCCACTTTAAAGACGACAGCCATTGCAGCTTGGCTGCCCAGGCCCCAGGAGCTGGTGAGGCGGTGGGGCTGAGATTCAGGCAGCTGGGTGCTCCTCCAGACCCCCCACCCTGGCGTCAGGGTCCCCTCGCAGTGCTGTAGCAAGGACCCCCGGTGGGGCAGAAGGAGCTTGTCAGTCTCCTCCTTGTGGGCTCAGCCCGCCCACAGACCCTGCCCAAGACCCTGAACCAGGGCAGACAGGGTGGTGAGATTTGTATTCTGGGGTCCCCCAGCTATGTGGTCCTGGGGGAGACACTTGGATTGTGGTCTCAGTCTCCCCATCTGTAAGAATGAGGTTCCAGATAACCCCTGAGATCCCTCCCGGGTGTCTTTTCTCTTCCTCTGCGGTGTAGGATCTGTGTCATCTCCCCTCCTTCTCAGAGCCCTGGGTGGTTCACAGCTAAGCTCGGCCTCTGGAGAAGTGGTTGGTCAAACAAAAGTCACCTCCAGCTGTCCACAGACCCACTAACTGGACAGAAGACTAAGGAGCTTCTCTGCAATCTGCCTCAGAAACTGGTCTCAGAAACTGTGGGGTCCTTCCAGGGCCCCCTGCACTGGTCACGGCAGCCTGGAGTACCCTGGGTTGGGCCACAGGATTTTCCCCAGCCCTTCAGGGGGCCTCCCCCAGGAGCCCAAAGCGGCACTCCCTCTCCTCTGTCAGCCCCCTGGAATGCGGGAGAACCGGCTGGGGACTGCTCTGTGCTCTGTGCTCCCTTGCCCTGCAGAAAGCCCCGCAGAGCCTCCAGACTGAGCCTGGAAGGTGTAGCAGAACAATGAGAAAGCTCAGCTCCCCTGCCTTCATGGGGATTCACAGATGTGGGGCTGGGAGAAGGGAATTCCTGTAGTGTTCCTATAAAGCCTTCAGTAGCCCGCAGCCAGCGATGTTATGGGAGGTGAGTCTTGTTCGGAGCTCAGTGCCTTGGAGGGGTGGGGAAAAGGTTCCAGGGTAGTGGTCAGAGGTGCTGAGAAGGAGGTGAAGGGCCTTCCCAGACCCCGCCTGTGGCAAGAAGTGCCTGTGCCCCTTCCCAGAACTGATCCAGACAGAGGCAGAACTCCTGGGGAAGGGGTGGCAGTCTCCCAGCCCTATAAAAGGACAGGCTTTCCTGGCAGGATGGGGGTGGGTGGTGGCAGGAGACAGGACTTAGATGACCACACTGTAAAATGTCACAAGGTCGGGGGTGGAGGAGAGTCAGGGAGAAGATGCCAGAGCTCCAGCCTCTGGCTTCCACAGCGACCCTTCTTAGTTCCTGGGCCCACCAATGCTACAGGCTTTTGTTTAGCGTCAGGAAAGATAACTGCTGGTCTCCCATCAGACAGACACCAAGTAGGGGTGCAGGGAGAGCCCTAAAATCCTCCTTGCCTCTCAAGTTGGGGTGCAGAGACCTGAAAGCCTCCTTGCCCCAACACATTGCCAGGACAGCCCCGAGAGAAGTTGGCAGTTTACTAGGGCAGCTCTTACAACCTTGGGGCCCCAGATCCCTAAGACAGCAACCTCTTAGCTGGAGGAACTTCAGGAGCGCCCCTCTTGCCACTGTCAGCACCCTCCCCTTGCTCTTGCTAAGTGTGAGAACAAAACTGACCAGTTATGTGTGGTCTCTTCCAGGCCCTGTTCAGGGAGAGAGGAGGCTCCCTCAGAGCCACAAAGGGAAACTGGTACAGGGGCTGGTATATTTTTTTAAAGAGTTATCTATTTATACATATAGAACTGGGGTACAGGTCAGAGGCAGGTACAGGGGCAGTGAGAGGATTCACCAGAGAGAATGGGGAGCAGACCAGGCAGATCGATGAAGTCCACTGCTGAGGGGAGCAGTGGGTGGTCAGGAGAGGTCTGCCGCACCATGTGGGTCACCTCCGGGGCAGGGGATCAAACTCGCACTGGTGCAGCTGTGGTCAGCTTACAGTGCTGCATCCTGACCCACTGCACCACCAGGGAGGCCCAGGGGGCTGATATTTAAGGGGGAAAAAAATCAAATATATTGAACTATTTCCATACAATCCACCTCTTCCCTCACCTCAGCCCTAAGTTGCTTGCCCCCAGATGGAAACCACGAAGTCAGAGCACAGCCCAAGTTCGGCATGCAGCCCACTCACTACCACACCATTAAGCGTTGTTCAGAATCAAAGCCAGGTTGAGCCCAGCCCAGCCCAGGGCTGATGAGGCAGTTAGAGAAGGAAGACCGAGACATACTCTTTTCAAAGCACTGGAGAAAGTCAACAGGATTGCAGCAGATTGAGGGTTTGGGGTGCTTGGGTTCAAATGCCATTCATGTGTACACTTTGCTGCACCAGCAATGCCACAGTCAGATCCCCTGTATTTTTTCACCTGCACGAACGAACCCCCACCTCTTTGGACCTGGGTGTTCCCAAGGCCAGGGAAATGCTATCATCCTCAGGGCCGCCCCAGAGGCCTTTCTCGGGAAACTTGCACCCAGTGGAGACACTGGACAAGAAACACAGCAGTCATTCCATCGAAAACTCCACCTCGAGTCCTTTCCACTCAAATAAAAATATTTATTAAAATGCGGATTAAACCTGAAAAAAGAACTACCAGGTGGCAGCCCTTTGCATAGTACTTCGAGAATCAAAAAAGAAGGAAAGAAAGAGAAAGGAAGAATATCCTCTGCTCTTCCCCCAAAGACTCCAGGGGGGAAGCGGGGAGACAGAGGCCCCTAGTGAAGCCTCCAGTCCCTGAGGGCTGTGCAAACTCTCTGGCCTGGGGGGCAGAGTGAGGAGTGAGAGCGACCCCAAGCTCCAAGGAAGCTGTCCTGAGGGGATGAGAACTGGAGGAAGGTGACCCGAGGCCTGGGGTTTGGGATGTGATTCTGAGAGGCTGCGGAGTCGGAAGAGGAGGTGGCAGAGCCTCTAGCTGCCCTTGGTGGCCAGGATCTGTTGGACGTAGTTGACGACATTGCTGTGGAGCTGGGCGGCGGTGGCCTCGAAGGTCTCCTGGGCCAGGGTCCGGGCCGCCTGGCTGCCTGCCACCATGGCGCGGTACAGCGGGAGGGTGTACTTCTGTTTGCCCTGCAAGACACACACACACTCAGGCCGGGCTGCCCGCCCTGAGCCGTCCCCCAGCCGTGCACCCCACTGACACAGGGTGTCACCCCACTGTCACAGGGTGTCACGCAGCTTGCACACGGGACAGCACAGGGGTGCAGGCGAGGGGGCCGGGAGGATGGCAGACAGCGATGGTGGCCGCACAGAGGCTAAGGAAGGGTGTGAGGCCGCTGCAACCCCAAGTCCTGTTCACATCAATGTGAACCGGCCCCATGGCGGTGGCCCAAGATCCAGAGGCTCGGGGAAGCCTTGGGAGGCCCCAGAACACCTCCCCTAGTCGCACAGCTCCCACGTGGACAAATGAGGTTCCTGGGCTTCGCTGTAGACCCAGCCCAGCTCCCAGGCTGCTCGCTCTGCAATTGGATGGGGTCCCCCTACAAGCCCCTTGGTCCTTCCCGACAGACACCGAGCACAGGGAGTAGAAACCTGTCATCTAACCTGTATCTGGCCTCTGCCCCGTGCCTTTCCCCCAAACACACTTCACCTTTCTTCCCAGTTTTGGGTTAGCTCAGACCAGATTTTTCCCCTCAGGCCTCACAAGCTGCCAGAAACTCCCTGGCCTTAGGCCTCCTCCTGGCACCTCCCACCCACAAGCCTCCAGCAGCCACACTCTAGAGCAACACAGCCTGGGAGGGCCTTGGGGGCCCTCTTACCCTCCCTTTTCCACAGAAGGTAGCTGATGAGCCTCCACCCACAGGATGAGGGGCTCCCCCCAAAGGTGGGGGTGCAGGGGTAGGGGCCACCCACCTGGCTCTGCAGGAATGCCTTCACTTTCCAGAAGTCCTCCTGGTAGTCATTCTTGAGCACAATTTGGCCCCACCGCAGCCGGAGCTCCGCATTTTGGGCACTCGAGATCTTGGGGTACGCCTCTCCCAGCTTCTTCACATTCCCTGGGCCAAAGAAGCGGCTATTAATGACCCTGTCAGCAGAGCCGTGCACCAGCGGCCCTTCAGGCCTGCCCAGAGCGGGGGGCGACTTCCACAGCTCCCTGGCCACCACCTCCAGCCACTTCCACTCGGCCTGCTTCACTTCGCGTGGTCATGTCCCCTGACGTGGCCGTGTCCTCTTTAGCTGCTGAGGCTCTTCCCACCGACCGCCCCTCACACCACTGCAGACAGCCCCATCTGCCCTCCAGAGTCACAGCTCAGCCAAACAGCCTTGGAGCAACCCCTAAAATGCCCTCGCCCTCATTCTCCCTACCACTAGCCTCCCAAGCGCCACCCTGACTGCAACTTTGCTCTGAATAGCTCCCTTAGCAAAGATCCTTTCTGGCTGAGTGGCAGCCTGAGTGGTATGAGCTTATGCCGGTGGGGCCAACCCCAGCCCCCCACTTACTGCCTGTGATGCCCATTTGTGCCGCTAGTTCCATCCCCATTGCCTGGAGATTAGAGTCACGTCACTTAGTTCACAGAGCAGTTATGAGGATTAAACGACTTCCAGGCTGCAGGAGTTTAGAAGAACTGCCCACAGGAGGCAAGGTCTGAACAAAGGCTCCGGGCCGGAGCACACCAGCCCCACACCTGGCTCCGCTCTCCCCGGTGGGGCTGTGTCCAGCTGCGCCCTCTCTCCTGCAGCTGGAAGTGGCCGCGGGCGAGCATCTCAACCTTTTTCCTGAGTCTTCCTCTGGTGCCACGAAAAGCTCCACCCACAGGTGCCTCGACTCACCTAGTCAAAGCAATCACCCCGGCCTCTTACCGGGAGGGAGCGGGGACTTCTGGAGGATCTTATCCAAGAAGTAAACCAGCTGGTAGGTCTTCCAGGTAGAGATGGCCACGGCATCGATGGCCTTCATGTCCAGCTCCTTGGACACCCACAGCTGAGCCAGCTCATCAGCCGGGGTCATGAGTGTGTCCCCCGAGGAGAGGTCAGGGAGGTAGGGGGGCCAGCCAGGGGTGTTCAGCCATCGATCAAACTCAAAACCTTTTGGGCGGAGGGAAGAACCATCAGTTCTCTGGCAGCATCAGAGTTAATTCACCCCAGCAATTTGCAGAGACCTCAGGATCCTGACTGCCTCTCTCCATCCCTGGTCCCTTCTCCAGTATTTGGGGGATTCCCATGACCACCTGTGCCAGCTGGATCCCACCCAGCCAACCATAGGGACTATTACTGCCTTTACAGAAAACCACCCCCTTTTCTGCCGTGAAGTGGGTTTTTGTTCCAAATGAACACCCTGCTGTCAGAGCCAAAGGGGGTTCCTTTCGAGCTTCCTTCAAGTTCACATTCTCCTCCAGGGGCCTGGACAGCCCGATGCCCAAGGGCCTGGGCTCATGGGTCAGGCTGCCTTCACTCCTACCCCAGTTCTTCCCTAGCTAGTGCCTGCAATGGGCAGGCGACTTCACCTCTCTGCACCAGTTTTATCTGTAAAATGGGGGTAGGAAAGACATGGTGTCAACCCAAATGCCCAAAAGTAGATGACCGGATTAAAAGATGTGGTACATATACCAACCAAAAGAGTTAAACTCATGCCTTTTGCAGTAACATGGATGGAGCTGGAAGGGATCATGCTTAGTGAGATAAGCCAGAAAGAAGAAAAATACCGGATGGTTTCACTCATAGCAGGAACATAAAAGATCAGGAAAGAAAATAATAATAATAAACAACTATATACCAGAGACATTTTATGGGGGGTGGAGTAGGGAATGGGATCAAAAATGAGGTGGGGGTTGGGGGCAAAGTGCACTGGACTATGGTGATGGCACATGGGTGAAATGGTGATGGGAAGCCCACGGGGATTGCAGCTGAGGTAGAAGGCACAAAATGATGTAAAAATAAACTACTATAACTAAAAAAAAAATAGATGAGCTAAAAAAAAAAAAATGGGGGTGACAGGCCCTGCCGTAGTTGGCAGTTGTGAGGACTAAGTAAATAAATACACATGAAGAACTTAACATGCTGTCTGGAGCATAATCATTAACTGTCATTCGCCACTGAGTCTCATGACCTTGAAATGCCTCCAACCAGAGATGAGACGCTTTGAGGTCCGACCAGTGCCAGCTACTAGGGTGGGGGGCTGTACCAGGACATCGGTGGGGTGCCTTAGAATCTGCTGCCAAAGCGGGGTATGTCTGTCCAGTGGGCTGTTTCACCCATGAAGGATGTCCTCACCCTCTCTTAGAAAGCAAGTTCCCAGAGAACAGACAGGATCCTCTCTCCCCACAAGCAGGCTGTTTGAGTTTGATCTTGGGGCCTCCCAAGCCAAAAATTAGGGCCAGTGACTCTCCCATCACTGAAAACAGTACAAGGCAGGTCCACATTCTTGGGGGCCTGCTGGAGCCCTGCAAGTCAGCCTGGCAACAGGAGCCCAAAACAAAAACAAAGAAAGTCAGACTCTGTGCCCAGGCACAGGAGGAGACCTGAGGATGAAACGCGCCTGGAAAAAGCAAAGCTGGGAGGTGAGAGAAGTCATTCCAGGGGGAAAAGTCTGGGGCCCTGGGGCTGCTCCCCAAAGGGCCACTTACTGGGTGACACTGACTGTGCCCCAGCCCCGCCATACTGTTTCCAAATGTAACCAGACGGGATGCCGTTACCACCTGGAAGCTTGTGGACCAGCGCCTCATGCTCACCTGGAATGGAATCTACTTTCTTTTTCTTCAGCTCAGGGAAATATTCCAAGTAAAATTCCAGAAAGTCATCAGCTAAGATACTCTGGAATTTAAATTCATCCACGTAGGCCTGTGAGAAGGGAGGTGCTTCTCAGTTACTTCACATCTGGGGATGTGGGCAGCCTCTCTGCTCCCGCCCTCCTCCCACCCATATCTCTCCCACCCCGGCCTCTACCTTGCACTGTGGCCCAAATGCTTTATCTTTTCCTCTCCTTCCTCCCCTTATCTCTGAGTTGACTGTACCTTGAGAAAATTGTCAAACTGGTTCTGATCGCCCACTAAATGGGCCAGGTATGACACAAAGCAGAAGCCTTTCTCATAGGGGGTTTCATTGTAGGTATCGTCTGGGTCAACACCTGGCAGAGGAGAAAGCAGACATGAGTTGAACCTTGGGAACCTCTCACCCTCACTGGGCCTCTCTAGCTCAGACTCCAAGAGAAACTCTGGAAGAGACCAGAACCCAGCTTCCCCACGGAAGCAAGGCCAGGAACGCTTCCAGATCCATCTTGGCCTCTCCCTAAGGAAGTCTTAAAGGGCAACGAACTGTGGGCTGACTAAGAGGACAGAGAAAACAGCCTTCCAGGGAACTGGCAAGTTTCCTTATTCTTGAGATTTCTTTGCTTGGGTGGGCTCCATTGACTTTTAGGACTGAGCATGGGGCTCAGTGTCTTTTTCAATTCTGTTGGTCACCACCTGTACTCAGAACAATGAATGTTCTGGACTAAAATTAATTAATGACCGTCTACAAGTAGTTCATTTTCATAGTACATAGCATCAAGGAATGTGAACTTCAATTGCACAAAAAGGTTTTGGATTAGTCATACATGTTATTAGAGAAAAACGTTAGCAAGTAAAACTACACGACCTTGGACAAGTCACTTGTCTGGTGCTCAATCACATCCTCTGTAAAATAAGACTAACACTGGCTCTACCAGACCCATAGGGTTGGCTTGATGAAAGAAAACGGATGTCAAAGAGCCCTGTAAGGTGGCATGGACCCGTATAAACACAAAGCATTGAGGAAATCATCATAGCTGCACGGGACGGGACTGGCCCCCTAGCTGGCTGGAATGACCTAGGAGAGGACCAGCTCCGAGGTGCTCCAGAGGGCTCCTCCCTCCTGGGAGAGTCAAGTGTGCACTTATCCACAGGAAGCTCAAACTAAGCTGTGGCTCTGAGCTCAACTTAGGGAAGAGGAGTCAGACAGAAAGGCCTTCTGGACCTGGCTCGATCTTCACCCGGAGCTTGTTGAGTGGATGGTCCTCGCCAGTGGTGTCCATGTGCTGTCGAAGCAGAGCCCGCCCGGTGGCAGCTTCCAGGCAGGTGTAAGCAGCTCCTGGGGCAAAAGAAACCAAAGGCCTGGAGTTTGTCACCACATCCAAGTATGTGCTTTCCTGACAGGAGATGCTGTGCTGCCCCCTTCTGGTCACAGGGATAATGACAGATCCTGGAAACTGAAGCCATCACCCTTCTGGGAACCTGAGAGCAAGAGCTTTGCTGATGGAGAACAGGACTCAGCCTAGGCTCCCTGCTGCTCTGGCCCACTCAGGCTGTCTCCCCCAAACACAGAGACCCCAGGAATCACATTTCTTCCTCTTCCAATTACATGGTCTTTTATTCCTTTAAAAGAGGTATTATCCTTTAATCCCTGGTGGCTCAGGGGTTAAAGTCTCAGAGCTTCTGTAGTGTACTTCTCGATCTGCCTGTTCTGTTCCACACTCTGTCTCTGGTAAGGCCTCTCACCGTCCCTGCACCTCTGGCCTATACCCCAGCTCTGTATGCATAAATAAATAAAACTTTTTTTTAAAGATTTATTTATTTATGCATACAGAGTTGGGGTATAGGCCAGAGGTGCAGGGACAGTGAGAGAATCCACCAGAGAACAGAATGGGAAGCAGGGCAGGCCGAGTGATGAAGAACACTGCTGAGGGGACCAGCGGGCGGGTCAGGAGAGGTCTGCTGTGCCATGTGGGTCACCTCTGGGGTGGGGATTGAACTCATGCTGAGGTGGCTTTAGCTTCTTAGTGCTGTGCTTTAACCTGTTGCACCACCAGGGAGGGCCCAAATAAATAAATCTTTAAAAAAAAAAACTCAAAAGGAGATGACACTGGCCTCAAAGGGGAAGGGTGGGACTGGGTCCCTAGGGCGACGGGCACCGAGAGCTGGCTTACCAAAGAGGGTGGTGGAGATCCTTCTCTGGGCGTACATGGTGAAGCCTTCATTGAGCCAGAACTCACCCCAGTTGGCATTGGTGACCAGGTTCCCAAACCAACTGTGGGAGATTTCATGGATGATGACATCAGCCAAGGAGCGGTCCCCTGCTAGCAGGCAGGGGGTGACAAAGGTCAAACAAGGGTTCTCCATTCCTCCAAATGGAAAGGATGGCGGCATGAAGAGCAGATCATACCTGCCGGAAAAGTGGGCGGTCACAGAGGTCCCTTCCCGTGGGGACTCTCCCAGACCTGACAGCCACAGCCACGGAGCAGGCGGCCTATGGCCCTGGGCCCAGCACTGAAAGTGTCACACAGGTGCCTCAGTCCTCCTGCCAGGTGGCTTCCCTCTGCCAAGCGCCGAGTCTGGGACTTCCCTCTCCTAGGTGGTATTTGCTCTTTGTGAATATTTTTTAACAGCTCTCCCAAACCTGCAGCTTCCCGTCCCTTTCCAAGCATGGGCAATCAGATGCTGTGGCCAACCTGGAGTTGCAAAGACTAAAGTGAGGGCTTTCATCAGAGGGTCTAAAGTCTGAAGACTCCATGGGAAAAACAGGCGTGTGGGGCTGCTGCCAGCAGCTGGGAAGGAGACATCACCCAGGGCCTCCCAGCTCTAGCTCAGTCCTTGTTATTACTTCCAGAAACCTCTCTTGGGTCCCTTCTCGGTGGTAAAAGAGAGGACAAGGCCTGGCTTCTGCTTTCTATTTCTTCCTTCTGCTCTCTTACTTCTGGGGTTGGGAAACAGCTCCAGGAAGCCACAAGAAGAGAGCAGAGCCAGAGGGCCAGGAGGGAAACCAGGGACTGTGTTGAACAGAAGACATAAGAGCCAACATGATACCACACCTTCCCCAAACGTAGGGTCCAAAAAGTTTCTCTCCAGTTGCCAAAAATTCTTCTATCACTCCGTCATATTCCTTCTTGGCATCCTCAACCAGACAGGGCTCAGCCCACACCCGGCTCCTACAGACAAGAGCACAGAGAAAGCACAGTGGGGCTTAGAGACCCTCGCAGTGACTCAATCCTGAAACACCTGTAGGAAATTGGCTTCAGCCTCGTATGTGAGCCAAGGCCAGAAATGAGAACCCAGCAGCCTCATGGGGGGCTCGGCCCCAGGCAACGGGCTCCAAGCCCCAATGTTGTCACTATTTTGTAAAGCCCACGCTGAAGGGTATTACGAAAAATTACTTAACCTCCGAGTCTCAGCTTCCTCATCTGTAAAATGAGGGGTGAAAACAAGAGCACATAAAGACCCTTCACATAGTGGCTTATGTAGTAGAAGTTGATTTTCTTTCCCCCCATGTTCAGGAAAGAAGTAGAAACAATTCTTGCAATAGGGTCTTTGAAACTAAAAGAGACCTAGCAAGTAAACCTACGAACAGCAATAGAAAACCATTTCTGGGCCTCCCTGGTGGTGCAACAGGTTAAAGCGCAGCACTGTGAAGCTATCTGCAGCCACTGCAGCATGAGTTCAATCCCCTGCCAGGGAGGTGACCCATGTGGCACGGCAGACCTCTCCTGTCTCACCATTGCTCCCCTCAGCAGTGTATTTCAGGGCATCTGCCTGTTCTGCTCCCAACTCCAGTTCTGGTGAATCCTCACACCCCACCCCGCCACACTTCTGGCCTATACCCCAGTTCTTATATGTATGAATAAATAAATCTTAAAAATAAAATATTCTTACCTACAGAACCTTAGTAATAGTGAATTCTCCAAAATGCCACCCCTTAACTATGCATTTTCCTGTTAGCTACTAAGCTGACATGTCTTTGGTTATCTTCTACCCCAACTCTCAGGAAGACAGCCCTTCATGAAAGGAGGACACCCTGTCTTTCAAGACTGGTATTGCTTCATTTGGGTGCTAGGATGGATCCCATCTATCATTCCTTCTGAGACCCAGAAATAGGCTTATCACTCTGGCAAAGCTACTGAACCTATCTGAAGTCTGAGGCCTGTAACTAATCCTGTCAGGGATAGCACCACCAGTGGGAACTGAGAGCAGGGCCAGAGATAAAGAACAGCAGCGAGGCAGGAAAAGTGGTCCTCTTGCATCAGGATAATGCCATACTGGAAGATAACACAATAGCCAGGAAAAAACTATTCTCGCACTCAAATTTCTTTCCTTAGAAAGTTTTCCAAAATCCATATTTATCTTGACTAAGCCTTTCTAAATTCATGGAGTTTCAGGTTTATGCATCTGGTGCAGACAAGGAGTTTCCAATCTCCTTTCTAGAAGGAAACAATGAAATCAAAGTCATTTGTTTCTAGGAATTAAAAAGACAATGGGAAGGTTTGGGGCCTCGTTGATGCTGCAAGGCGCTAAGGCACAGCATGATGAAGCCACTGCAGTGCCAGTTTGATCCCTGACCAGGAGGTGACCCACATGGTGCAGCAGACCTTCCTTGACTCGTCAGCTGCTTCCCTCAGCCGTAAATTTCTATTTCAGTTAATCCGCCTGTTCTGCACCCCATTCTGTCTCTGGTGAATCTTCTCATCCCCACACCTCTGGCCTACACCCCAGTTCTTATATGCATAAATAACAATAGGTCTTTAAAAAAGAAAATGGGGAGGTTTGGTACAAAGATAAACAAGCAAACAGAGTTGTATAGGGAATTTAGAACTTAAAGATACAATCTCCGAAAACTGCTGCATAAGCTCCAAGCTCGCTCTGCAAGGTGGCCCACAGCAGCAACTATTGATGATCTTGTTCCAAAGAGCAGGATAAAACTAGAGAGAAGGATGGAGAGGGAGAGAGAAATGTAAGGGAGAAAAAGAACACCTCTTCCAGCTGTATGCACACCGCTTCGTGCTGCAGAAAGACCCTAAACTCAGAGATGATCCAAATTGCCCCCGTAGCCTCCTCAGCAGCTCTATTGGTCCAAGGCCTCCTGGCCTCAGAGGTCAAGCCAACCTTGCCTTTGGTGTCTTGGTCTCCTACCTGGGTCCAACCTCTGCTGAAACCAGGTCTCCGACGGCCAGAGCTATCAGATAGGAGGGGATGGGCTGATGCATGTGAAAGAAGAACTTATTTGATGCTCTCTTCTCCCAGGTATCAGCACTCATCACAGCTGTGAAGCCGTCTGGGACCTGATAACAGAGAACGCTTAGGAGATGTTACCTGGAGAGTCCCTTGGATGAGCTCAAAGAACAGCATCAGCAACAACTTGTGCAGAGCTGGAGTGCACAGAGAAATTTCAAGAAATTATACTTGGGAGCCTTCCCCCGTGGAGCAACAGGTTAAAGCACATCACATCAGCATGAATTGATCCCCGCCCCCGAGCTGACTCACACGGTACCGGTACTGGTGCCACAGACCTCTCCTGGCCCGCCCGCTGCTCCCCTCAGCAGTGTACTTCGTCGATCTGTCTGTTCTGCTCCCCACTCTGACTCTAGTGAATCCTCTCACTGCCCCTGCACCTCTGGCCTTACCCCAGTTCTGTATGAATAAATCAATAAATCTTTTTTAAAAAATTACACTTGGGTTAAGCTAATGGTATTTACCACACATAAGATTTCTTTAGGTGGAGAAATTTTGAAGATAACAATTCACCATGAATTATTGAATAAATGAAATACAACCTGAGATATCTGAAATTATATTTGCAATCCCCAGCACAGATAAATTTAACCCGAGACTTCTTACCTCAATAAGAGCTGAATATTTGCATTTCACCGCAGGAGTGTCAAAGCAAGGGAAGAAGGCCCGATTTAGGACAGCCTGACCTTGGGTGTAGACAAAGGGCTTCTTCTTTCCAGCGGTCTGCTCAGGAGTCAACCAGCAAACCTAAGAGAACAGAACATTTCAGAATTGACAGCCACTATCCGAACTCAGTGTAGCCGGAGAGAAGGGGCTGGTTAGCCTGGGAATATTTTAGGTAAGTCTCAGAATCTCTTTGCCAGACAGTTTGGCTCTGACTGGGAAATCCTCTCTTACTGTGTATTCAATCTATGCCAAGGTTTGAAATACCCCACAAAGGCCCCATTCCTCACTGCACCCCATGGGTCAACACAAGAATTCTAGACCTGCCTTCTGACCCTATCAGTCTTCCTCCTCTGTGACCATCTATCTCATCAACAAACAAGCACAGAAGCAGCTGTATTTGAACTTGTGATAAACATCAAAGAAAAGCAGCACCTCTGGGAGGAGTCCATGCCTAAAGGCTGACTCCATTCCTGAAGTGCACACTTTCCAAATAAATGCATTTGGCAGGCTAGGCAGTGGCTACGGTTTTGAACTGAGCAGAGAGGCAAGTACCAAACACCAATCAGACAAGTCAGCCCACCCTGTTGGCACAATGGGGTGAAGCACAGCACTATGAAGCTATCTGCAGCCACTGCAGCACAAGTTCGATCCCCAGCCAGGGAGGTGATCCACATATGTGCCGCAGACCTCTCCTGTCCTGCCCACTGCTCCCCTCAGCATTATGTTTCAGTCAATCTGCCTGTTCTGCTCCCCACTCTGTCTCTGGTGAATCCTATCACCCACCACACCTCTTGCCTGTACCTCAGTTCTTATGTGCATAAATAAGTAAATATTTTTTTAAAAATAGAATTCAAAAAAGGGTTGGCTGATTCCAGGAAATTTTCCCAGGGAAGCAAAACTTTCTGGCTGGGGCCTCAAAGCAAGCAGGACATAGCAGGGAGAAGACATTCTGAGGGAGGCGGGAGGACAGGCAAGAGGAGAGTCAGGCTCTGGGAAGCAGCAGGCTTCAGGGTCAGAGCTGTGAGCATGCTGGGCATATGTAGCAAGGGGCTTTGAACACAATAATATGAGACCTCTTTTTCAGAGACATCAGGAAGTCCCATTGGGATGCTGGGTACTCCTTGGTTTGAGCTTGTATGTATATATGTGTCAAAAATTTTAATGGGTTCCCTTCCAAGCAATATAGCACAGGTAGAAAGAGGAGGAAAGAGTAACTCCACAGTGACCAAGGTCAATAAAAGTAATTAAAAAAAAATTATCTTGGCATGGTTGACAAAATCTTGGTGAGAAGTAAAAGGATGAACAAACTGAAAAAAAAAAGTAATAAAGCATGTTGATACCCTACCCTCAATATGATGTAATGAAAACAGCATTTATTTCTGTGAATTTTCCACTCAATTTTGCTAAAACTGCTCTCTGAAATGTCTATTTTAAAAACCCATGATCATGAGAAAGTACAGAAGCAGCTGCCTTTAAACTTGTGATAAACATCAAAGAAAAGCAGAAACTCGGGAGGAGTCCATGCCTGGCGGATGACTCCACTCCTAAAGTGCACACTTTCTGATTCTCCTAAAGTGCACACTTTCTGAGTAAGTGGATTTGACGGGGTAAGCATTTCAATACTTAAAACTGACAAGCTCATTAAAATAAGGAAAGCTTTTCATAGCCAAAAGGAGCCTAAATATATAAAGGAGCTAAACTTACTGCAGTATTCTGGATGGGATCCTTGCACAGGAAAATCATTATGAGAAAACTAAGGATTCTGAAAAAACTGTGGGCTTTAATAATAATGTATCACCACTGGGTCATTAGTTATAATAAATGTATCATACTTATAGAAACAAAGTGGATGGAGGGGTTACATGGAAACTTTGTACCATCTGCTGGATTCCTCTGTTAATCTAAAGAGATTCTTTTAATGAAAAAACTGAATGAGCTGACAATAGAATGAACATTGAATTGTCTCTAGGTACCACGCACTACATTAGGCACTTACATAAAGCTAACTCATTTAACTCTTGTTAAACACATAGACCAGTGCCTGGCCTATCTAACTATTGGCCATCTAATGAAAATTATCAGAGGAGTCACTAGCTATAGCAGTGACAGTCTTATGGAGTATATTTCTTAAATCAAAAAGATTTGAAAGTGGAAATGACTCATCGCTTGAGGGGAACTTTTGTTTTGATGACAGGATGAAAATAAATGAAGGAGCCTGGAAATACATACATTATAGAAAAAGTCAAAAGTCAGGTCAAAGCCAACCCCAGCAATGATTAAGGTGGGCTGGCGGCAATGAGAAGAAGGAATAAAAACAAGTGCCATCAACACAGGCCTTCAAATGCAAAGGTTGATCTCCATAAAGTGTGCCAAAAAACCAGATTTACCACTATGTTTGCGAAGAAAGCCAGTTCGTTTTGCTGGTAATCTGAGATCAAATTCAGGGGAGGCTTATTTTTTCCCCAGTTATCCTTCTTAAAAAAAAAAAAAAAAAAAAGGGAAACAGAGCATAACAACAGCGAAACATGTGAAGGCTTGGGGATTTTCCCTGGGCCTTACAGGTCACTTTGCAATGCTTTAAAATTTCATTTCTTAAAGTTCTGTAAGGTTCATCTATTCCCCCAGTGGTGAAAGATGAGAGGAGAACTGCTCTTTGATCCAGTCCTAAGAGCAGAAAGGAACTGCTGGTCAGATAACCACATTTTAGATAACCAAGCCCAGGAGAGCCCAGTCAAAGGTGAAACCTGCACCTGACCCTCTCTGAGAAATCACTAGCCACCACAGCCCAAGGCCTCCAGAAGGATCTGCTGACCTTGAAAGATGCACATAACCTCTATCTGCTTATTTCTGTTCCCCCCCAATTTCGATATTTGCTAATATTTCCCCCCTAAATTATTTCCTAATAGTGGTTCTCCCTGAGCACTTAAGAATTGGGAGTCAATCAACAATGAGAAGGCCAAGCTATTATAAAGTCCAGTATACCCTCTATCACCTTTACTCAAATTCTTTTGTTAATAAAATCCAATACTTCACCAAAGAAAATAATCATCTGGGGCCCTCCCTGGTGGCACAATGGGTTAAAGCACAGCACTATGAAGCTATCACAACCGCTGCAGCCTGAGTTCGATCCCCAGCCAGGAAGGTGACCCACATGAAGCAACAGACCTCTCCAAGACTGTCTCACCACTGCTCCCCTCAGCAATGTACTTCAGTCAATCTGCCTGCTCTGCTCCCCACTCTGTCTCTGGTGAATCCTCTCACACACACCACCCGCCCTCCCCCCACCTCTGGCCTGTACCTAGCTCACCTCTGTATGCATAAATAAATAAATCTTTTTTTTTTTTAAAGAAAATAATCATCTGAGCTTCATAGTTATTTCAGCCCGTGGCACTAGAAGGGCCCCTATAACAAAGAACTGAGTCAGCAACGAGGCTAATTACCGGCCTTGTTCAGGGCCATCAGAAAGCAAAACTTAAGTAGCTAAAGGTCTGGGCTCGCGGCCCCAAAGCCCGTGACACTTTTAAGTTCCATGTAGAAACAGTTCGTTATCCCAGAGGCCGCCGAGGATAAGGTTCCCTCCTCCGGCAGAACCGGCACAGAGAGCGGGGTGAGATGACAGTGAAGCAGCGGTCAGTGGGCCGGTCACCACAAAGCCAGGAGGGCAGGGGCGGACAAAGGTGCCCAGCACGGGAGCTATAAGGGTAAGGAGCCAGAAGAGGCAACTCTGGGCAGTCAGAAAGGAAAAGAGTGGGAAAAGAGAGGCAAGGGGTGTGCACAGAGAAGCTCCGGACCCCTCTCGGAGAGCCGAAAAATCTCTTCCTTTCCCTCTTCTGGGCGTGGAGGAAGTGCGGGTGCAGAAGCCGGCCCAGAGGCCGGAAGGGTGAGCAGGCAGGGTCTGGGGGAGCCGGGGCCAGGCGGGGCGCGGGGGCGCACTCACCCCGGGTCCCTCCCCGACGCGGTAGGTGAGCAGCAGCTGGAAGCGCTCGCCCGCCGAGCAGGGCTGCGGGAAGCTCAGGCACAGGGCCTGGCCGTAGCGCGAGAAGGGCTCGGTGCGGAACGGCACGGGCTCCGCCGGCGGCTTCTCCACACCCGGCAGCTTCCGCCGCCACGCCGCCTCGGTCACCTCCAGGCAGGGGTGCGAGTCCAGCCGCAGTTCCGAGGCGCCCTCGGGCTGCAGGCAGCGCAGCTCCAGGACCGCCTGGCCGCTCAGCCCCCGGCTCCCCGGGCCCGGTCCAGGCGGCCCGAACTGGATCCGCAAGTCCAGATGTATATGGCTCATCGCGAAATCCCGGAAACTAGAGGCCGTGGCCACGTCCACGGCCCGCGCGGAGTGCAGCGGCCGCCGGGGCTCGCGGTCGCCGGCTGGGGATCCTTCGCTCGCCATTGCCCGGAGCCTGCGTTCTCCCGCTGGGGAATGCCGGCCGGCTAGGGCTCGCCGGTGAAGCCACGCCCCGAGCGCGCAGCTCCGCCCAAGGCCCCGCCCCTCAGCGCAGGCCCCGCCCAGGGGACCCGAGCCGGACCACGCCCCCGTCCCCCACCCCACCACAGGCTGTCCATCCCCCTGCTTTTGTACCCGACCTAAGACCGTGGGCAGGAAAGGACAGTGGAATATTCTGGTCCACATTTGCCCGATTCACCTTCCCGAGATGTTTCAATGAAATAGGAGTGACCTCTGTCTCACAAGGTCATTGTGAGAATACAATCAGGTATTGTATATGAACACTCAAGAACACTCAAGTAGTTCCACATTGGATCAAGGTTCGCCCGCAAGGGCTCCAGGCCTGCCTGTGTTTCCGTTCTTCTCCCCTTGACTGTCCTTTGTCCTTCAGTTTTATCTTCTTTCCTGTACTGTAAGGTTTATTGAGCTAGAAACACCTCTATACTTTATACCTTCTCTTCTGTACCTCTTCTGTGACTAGGAGGCTGTCCATGATGCTCTTTACCCACCAGCTAGGAAAGGAGAATTTCGAAAAAGACAATGTAGAGGGATGTAAAATAGTATCCTATTATGTGTTTTCTAGTATTAAAAATAATTTATAAAATGCTGTGGCAATTTTTAAAATTCCATATAAGGTCAATGTCCGTTTTCTTTGTTTTAATTTTCTTTTTTTAAAAGATTTATTTATTTATGCATACAGAACTGGGGCACAGGCCAGTGGTGCAAGGGCAGTGAGAGGATGCACCAGACACAGGGTGGGGAGCAGAACAGGCAGATCCACGAGGTACATTGCTGAGGGGAGCAGCAGGCAAGACAGTAGAGGTCTGCCGCGCCATGGGGATCAGGGCCCGGGATCGAACTCGTACTGAAACATCTCCTGCTAGCTTATGGTACTGTGTCCATACCCGCTGAACCACCAGGGAGAGCCTCGTTTTCTTTATTTTAACTTAGTACTTGATGAAACATAAACATTTTAGAAAACCATTTTTTTCTGACATTGAACACAGGGCTTGGTACCTATTACACATTTAATAATCTACCTTCAAATTATTCATTCTCTGAAGCAATATATTTTTGTTAAGCAGCTTTTATACACCAGCTGTTAGACAGGATATTGCCGATACAGTCCTATTTTTTCTTTCAAATGGTATTGTTCCGTCAATCATTTATACAACGACATAGTATTAGGAGTACAACTTCACCCCTCCCTATGTGCTCATATTCCCAAGTCTGTCCTGTCTCCTTTGTCCTACCCATCCCTTCTTGTATTTTTTTCAGTGTCTAAGAATTATCTTTGTTGTATTTTGTTAGGTGTTTTTTCAATTTTGGGTTTTTTGTTTGTTTTCTATTTTCTGCAAATAAGTAAAACCATCAATAATTCTCTCATTTTTAGACTTATTTCACTTGACACAATCACCTCAAGTTCCATCCATTTTGTCCCAAAAGGCACTGTTTACCTTTTTAATAGGTTAGTAATATTCCATTGAATGTATATACCACCATTTCTTTATCCCTTCATCTGTGAATGGGCATTTAGGTTGGATCCATGACCTGGCTCTTGTGACTATGCTGCTCTGCTAAAATTCTTTCCATATCAATGTTTTTATATTCTTTGTTATTCTAGAAGGTATTACATTGAATCTTAAATTGCTTTAGGTAATATCCCCATTTTAACAAGTTTATTCTTCCAATCCTTGAGATGGTATATCATTCCATTTTTCGTCTAAGTTTTTTATTTCCTTTGACTGTGTCTCAGAGTTGTTTCACCTCTTTTGTTATGTTTACTCCCCTGTATTTTGTCTTTTTTGCTGTGACTAGAATTGGGATTGTTTTCATAGGGTACAGTTTCCCTAAAACTGGCAGCCCCTGTCATGTGGTGCTAATATTATAGCTCACATTTTAGCTTAAAGATGAAGACACCGGTCACTACAACCTGTGTGCAGTTATGATCGGGGGAAACAGGATGGCAGATATAATGCAAGGAACAACACCCAGCCTCCTTTGCAGGAGGAAGAGAATCTATTATTCTTTAAGTAAACTTTTGGAGTTAAGATGTCTGCTCCTTCCTGGGAATATGAATAGCCTCAATCCCACTGTTCTAATCTCATCTACCCTGAGGACTCCCATGGTGTCTGATTTACCTCTAGATGATATTGTAACAACTCATTCTTAGCGGAGATTCAGGAAGGCCACCCTCTGTAGAAAGAAGGTACTATGGATACAACCTGCCTCTCTCCCAAATTGCTTTCAACTTTTATTCTCCATTTATTCAGAGACACTACAGGTTCTGTTTCAAAGCACTGCAATAAAACCAAATGCATGATAAAGTGAGTCACAATTCTTCTGGTTTCCAAGTGCACGGAAAAGTAGTGTTTACACAATACTGTAGTCTGTTAACAATGAGATAGCTTTATGTCTAAAAAAAGTACATAATTTTAAAATTTCATATTGCTGAAAAATGCTACTCCTCATCTGAGCCTTTAGAGCATTGGTTTTGCTGGTGAAGGTTCTGCTCCTAGTGTTGGCTGCAGAGGGATCAGGATGTTTGGTGGGCTGATGGCTGGGGTGGCTGTAGCAGTTTCCTCAAACAAGACGACAATGCCATTTGTTATGTAGATGGACGCTTCCTTTCATGAGTGATTTCTCTGGAGTATGCGGTGCTGTTTGATAGTATTTGATCCACAGAAGTTCTTTCAAAGTAGGAGTAAATCCTCTCAAACCCTGCTGCTGCTTTATCAACTAGGTTTATGTAGTACTCTATATTCCTTCAGTGTTCACATCTTTATCAGGAATAAAGTCCAACTCAAGAAACTATTTTCTTGCTCGTTCACAAGCAGCAGTCGATCCCTTCATGTATTATCTAAAGAGTGCAGCAACTCAACCACATCCTCAGGCTCTGCTCCTCACTACTGCTGGCTATTCCCACCACCTTTACAGTGATGACTGCTGATGTTTCCAACCCTTCAAAGCCTTTATGGGGTTGAAAACAACTTTCTTCAAACTTCTGTTAATGTTATTATTATGACACAAGTAAACACAAAAGAAATCAGATGCAAAATTGAATGGTGAATCAAACTAGTGGGTAAATTTAAACTAACATTGTATAAAGCAATGAAAACAATGTATTCATAGTGCCTGCAGGAGTGAATTAGATAAAGGTAAAATACTAGGCTGCAAGAACATGAGAGTGGTTGAAGCTAAACTGTAACTGAGTTCAAGATCACAGGGTAGCATCTCAACATATAAAACCCAGCTATTTCTGTCTAGTAGTAATGAACAATGCATTTTGACATTTAAAAAAAAATTAAATAGTACTCCTCCAAAATGAAATATCCACAGTTAAACCTAACAAAATTCATGCAAGATCTATATACTAGAAAATTATAAAACACTGATGAAATTCCCAATAAAATCCCAGCAGGCTTTTTTTTTTTTTTTTTTTTCAGATAGTAACAACTTTAATGTAAAGATTATAGGGATAGGCTGGAAAAGGTGAACAAATTTGGAGGATTCACAACACCTAATTTCAAAACTTACTATGAACTTTAGACTAATTCTGATGAAAGCTAGTTACACAGCTCAACGGAAAAGAACTGAGAACCCAAAAACTGACCTACCCATCAATTTTTTATCTAGGTGCAAAACCAAAAATGACATGACAAAGAACTTGTATCCATGCTATACAAAGAACTGTCAAGACCAAACAATAAGAAAAAAAATCAATATAAAATAAGTGAACATCTGAGCACTTTACAAAATAAGGTGGCATATGGACACATGAGGAGAAGCTCTGTATTACGAGAGATACCCATTGTGAGTGGCCACTACGTGCCTATCAGCATTGCATAATTTAAAACAAGAGCATTAGTGCTAACAGGTGCAGGCGAAGATGCCAAGCAGTCAGAACTCCTAGAGGTTGCTGGTGGGTGTACAAAACAGTCAGTATAGAGAACATTTTGACAGTTTCTTATGATATTAAATCAGGGGCCCTCCCTAGTGCTGCAATGAGTTAGGGCGTAGCACTGCAAGCTGGCCGCAGCTGCTACAGTACGAGTTCGATCCCTGGCCCTGGAGGTGACCCACATGGCGCAGCAGGCCTCGCCTGTCTTGCCCACTGCTCCTCTCAACAGTGTGGCTCTGCCTGTGTTGCTCTCCACTCTGTCTGTGCGAATCCTCTTACCACCCCTGCACCTCTGGTCTGTACCCCAGTTCTGTATAAATAAGTAAATGCCTAAGTAAGTAAATCTATAAAAACAATAGAAATTAAATCAACACTTACCTTAGGACCCAACAGTTCTAGCAATTTACCTAAGAGAGCAGGAAATATGTTCATATAAAAATCAGTAAGTGGATGTTTTAATTCATAATGGACAAAAATTATAAACAACCTAATGTCCTTTAGCTGGTGGCTAATGAACAAAGTACATCTGTATATCTTGCAATGAAGCACTACTACTGATAAATAAAACTACTGATTTACATGGACATTATACATGAATCATAAATGCACTTTGGTCATTTATGACACTCAAGAAAAGAGAAAACCGTAGTTAGAAAATAGGCCAGTAGTTGCCATAGCAACTATATAAGACTAACAGAAATTCTGGGGAGAGCTGTAATTTATTTTTCACAGAGGTAGAGTTTAACAATTATAAAACAACATTTTTGTAACTAAGGTTAAAAAATAAGCTAATTATTGCTTGAGCAAATTAGCAATGATGGTATCTAATTATATACCCAAAGAAAATATCCAGGAGTCTATAATATAGACTGAAAAAGCATGAGGGAAGAGACAACTCTTCCTTACAGAATTCCAACTACTACATCAAGGGAACGATAAAAGCAGGAAATCACTATTAGAATACCATATGTTAAAATTAGTGGGCAAAAGTTTAAGCAAAAACATGGTATTTGGATAGTCTCAGAATATCTCCCTGTAGATATTTATAAATAAACAAAAGAGAAAAATAGTTGTAGGTGGAGAAAGCCAAAAGCCACCCCTTGATCAAGTAATCAAGATAAACATCAACAATATTACCCCTAGGTCCTGCAGGCCCAGATATAATGCACTGGGAAGGTCCTATTATCTCTGTAATACCATAAGTCTAAATCAAGCGTTTCTTTAAAAAAAAAAAAAAAGGGAGAGAGCTCTTCTCTTTTAAGGAAACAAGATTGAGGAACTCACAGACTGAAGGAAATGAAGGTGACTAACAGCACTAACTGTATTTCAGTCAATCTGACTATTCTGCTCCCCACTCCATCTCTGGTGAATCCTCTCACCACCACCCCACTCCCTCCTGCACCTCTAGCCTGCACCCCAGCTCTTGTATACATAAAAATGAATTAGCCCCAAGTGGATTCCGCGTATAAAGCGGAGGAGGGTGGCGCTCGGCTTCAAGCTCGGTCTTTGGATCCGCTGCCATCGCTTCGTCGGTCACTAGTCAGACTCCTGCAGCCAAAATGGTGAAGCAGAATGACAGCAAGGTTGCTTTTCAGGACGCCTTGAATGGTGCAGGAGATAAACTCGTAGCCGTTGACTTCTCGGCCACGTGGTGTTGACCTTGCAAAATGATCAAACCTTTCTTTCACGCCCTCTCTGAAAAGTACACCAACGTTGTGTTCCTCGAAGTTGATGTGGACGACTGTCAGGATGTTGCTTCAGAGTGTGAAGTCAAATGCATGCCAACCTTCCAGTTTTTAAAAAAGGGACAAAAAGTGGGTGAATTTTCTGGAGCCAATAAGGACAAACTGAAGCCACCATTAATGAATTAATCTGATCACGTTTTCTGAAAACCACTCATCGGCTGTAACAATTGTTAATTTTTTTATTTAGGGAATCAGATTAAATAGCCAGACTTATTTGCAGCTGCTACTGATTACACATAAAAAACAAAATATTAATTCTACCCCTTTAAAAAAAATGAATTAAAAAAAAAAAGAACGTGTAAGAACTGGGATACAAGCCAGAGGTACAGCGGGTGAGAGGATTGACCAGAGAGAGTGGGGAGCAGAACAGGCAGCATGACTGAAACACACTGCTGAGGGGAGCAGCAGACCAGACAGAAGTCTGCTGTGCCATATGGGTCAGCTCCCCGGTGGGGGATCGAACTTATGCTGCAGTGGCTGTAGATAGCTTCACAGTGCTGACCCTTAACCCCTTGAGCTATGAGGCCCAAAGAAACTCAGTTTCAATAGCTGTGATCCTGCCTCTGTGTTGGTTGCACACCAAGTTCAAGATCCAGGATACAGTATCAGTGTGAAAACCTGCTGACTCTGTATTTGGCAGTGGACTCACTCTGCGTTGCCTTTGGAGTGAAAAAGCCACAGACATGTAGTTGAATGGATGGGGCTGGTAAAAGCTAGTAATTTATTGACAGTTATTTACCAGAACAGGCTGCTTATAGTTTGCTGAACCAGGACACGGTGCTGACAGGGTTGAATTTAGAGTTTCACACACCACAGGGTGGAGCTATTATCAGGCTTTCATAAATTACAGACATTTTGCATTTGAAAAGATGCACTTAGCATATACAGCTAAGACCACTTCTTTCAAATCCTCAAATTACCTGCCCGTTTCACAAAAGTGAAAGTGTCAGATGGGGGGGAGGAGGAGGAGGGGAAATGAAATCTTTCTAGTGGACATTTCAATCTTGAAAATGAATCACTCCATTATTTCAAGACTTAGAGGAAGGAACCCTAGGTCTTTTTGATGATTAAAACAATTTGGTTATTTTAGCTTTTATCCTGGGCCCTCCTTTTAGTTTCAGACTATTGGACATTTCAAATCAATATTTTAAGACAATGTTAGACTCTACCTCGTTTCCTATTACTTGTTAAAAGGAATCACATCTTACAAAACCTGTCAATACATCTCGTAAATTCCAATTTTATTCAGAAACAAGGAGAGGTAAAGAGGTATATGATAAAACATGTGTGAAGAGTTAATAGTAGGTGGTGGGTATGGACTGTAAAATTCTACTTTACATGTTTGAAGTTTTTCATTGAAAAAATATTGAGGAAAAAGCAGGGTGGGGAAAAGAAACAAACAGCAGCCACCCTCCCATGTCCTACTGTACAGGGAGTGACAGCAGGTGGAGTCAGACCTGGCCCTCCTTCCCCAGTCACTCCCAACTGCATTGCAGGAAGGCACCGAGTTGGGTCTTCAAAGCCCACCAGGAGTTAAGTTAGCAAATCAGTAATAGAAAGGGGCAGGCAGAGGAAACACCAACTAAAAACTCTTGTGTGATTACAAAACACCTCAGCCAGGAACACCGCAGATGATACTTAGGGCTCAAGCGTAAAATTAAAAGAATAGTTTGTTACCCCCAGACTGGACACTTCAGGTTAAGCTTGAAGCACAGCCTTCAAGCCAAATTCCAGCAGTAAGGCTGAAAAACTTTCCACAAGAGCCCAGCCTGTCCCAGCTAGGCTAGTGAGATCTGAGGAAATGGGACAGGAGAGGCAGGAATCCTCTGGAAAGATCTTTCAGGGTTTTCACCTTGTGTCCCATGGAATGAAATTTCAAGCCCTTAGAAAAGAACTGGTCATCCATCTTATGCTTCTTTCCTTCCACTTCACCCCTAATTCCAAAAAATTCGTCAGTAACCAAGAGTTTCTTCAGATATGCTGAGTTAAAGACATCAGGTACCCAGTAAACCAAAAAAATGATGAAACACCCCAGCATCACATACAACCTACGAAGAATCGGAATTTATATATATCCTTTCCTTGTACTTACGACTGAAAGCTAAAGAGCTATAGATTTTAAATCTCCAAAGATGTATAAATATCTGAGAAGCAGAGTGTCATTATAATGCAAATCAAAACCACAGTGAAATTTGATTTCAGATATACTAGGATAGTTAGAGCTAAAAACTGGAACCTGTGTCATTGCTGGGTGGGAATATAAGGTGGCCCAACTGCTGTGGAAAAGGTTAGTAGTTCTCAGAAAGTTAACACAGAACTACCATATGACCCAACAAATTCAAATAGCTACCTGCACACCCATGTTCACAGCAGCATTATCTACAACAGTGAAAAGGCACAAACAATCCGAGTGTCAACAGGTGAACAAACAAAATATGATATATACATGGGGTATTACTTAGCCACCCAAAGGAGTAAGGCAGCATTTAACATATGTGGACCCTAACATGCCCACAGGCAGCACCTAAGAACAGGCAACAGAGAATGGAGCTCTGTAATGACTAGGAACTGGGGGCATGTTATATTACATGGGTTCAGAGCACATGTTGGTGATGTTGAAGTTTTGGGTAATGGCTTTACAACATGGTGATTGCATTTAAATGCTACCGAACTGTACACTTAAAAAGTTGAAATGTCAGTGTTTCAAGTATGTTTTACACCCCCCCCATAAAAAGAGCCAACCAACCACAATAGTAATTAAATGATTATGCATATGGCATTAGGTCAAGGTTGTGTGCTCACTGTACTAACATGGATTTGTTCCCCACTTTACGCAAATGTAGGGAACTGGAACAGAGATCAGGCCTTCCGCCAGGCGCATGTCACTATGTATGGCCTATTCTGAAATGTCAATCCATTTCTCAGGGCCAACCAGACCCCAAACACACCCTTTATGAAGATCAGCTTCAAGGGACTTAGAACACATTAAAAACAGCACATACTTTATTTCCAACTATACAAGCAACCAACTTTTCCGTGCTACCCTCCGTGAATTCTTCTCACACGGAACTGGTGTTCTGGAACCAAGTTGCTTCTGATGATCAGGAATCAAAGATCAAGACACAGTGCCTCAAAGAGTTTTGTATCTGTCCTCTCAGAGCCAAGGCAGAGCATATTTTACTTTGAAAGTAAAGGTAAGTATCTTATCATAGCCGTCATCCATATCCATGCGGACTTGGCACAAATCCTTCTCATACATAATTTACCTCCAGTGAGATGAGGACCTAACAAGAAAGCATGCAATTGTCAATGTCATTTGCATTATTGAAGTATTTGAGGATGAAAAGCAGAACTCTACAACTTATCTTAAAGCAAGTTCCAGGAGTGTTTTTTTTTTTTTTTTTTTTTATTGTTTGACTAACAGAACACACAAAACCAGGCAGAGAAGTCCCCAGGGAAATGATGAAATGATTTTTCATTGCTCTTTGCCCTTTGGTCCTTCATCTTCTAAGCACTTATATTTTCTTTTAAAGATATTAAACATTTATTTTGATCACAAATGCAATCCAAGTGTGAATAAATAAATGCATTATTTTTTAACATTTCCCCTTCCTATCCATGTTTCTTTAAATAGAAAAAAGTGCTATGTGTCTCTTCACAGCCTATTTGGCCACAGATGTCCCACAGACGCTTTTAAAAACAGACTAAATTGCTCTTCTGAAATCCTTTCTTGAACTACAGCTTGTTCTGTTAAAGTCCTTGGAAAGCAGTCTACTGATATTGTCGATAGTCTCCAAAAGGTGAAGATGGTAACTGGGTGGAAGGCAACTGAGAGGGGTCTTCAGGAAACTGAGGGCCTGCAATTAAGAAAGAAAAGGTTTGCAAAATCATCAGAATATCAGATCACTAAAAACAGATCTCTGAACAGAGTAGTCAATCAACTCAACAAAAATGCGCTCTGTCAGCACTCTAATCTCTATTTCTTTGTAAATGTGCCTTGATCCCATTGAGTGTGACTTCAGATTTGTTTGTTCCATGACAGACTGGCTTCTCTTGTACTCCAGAATGAATAGCTCTCAAGCTACACCACGGAAGTTAGATAGATTAATCACCGCAAGAAGCACTCGTCAAGTTTGCGGTTCTCCTTTCCTTTGCAGGCTCATTAGTTGTGCTAACACAATGCGTTGCTCACTAGCTGGCTATTCGCTATCTGCACTGCACAGCCTGGCACTTGGATGGGGGACATGGGTGCCCATGTGTACTGTTCTTGCCACGTGGCTTCTGGAGGAAACGTGAGCAGTCTCCGCACAGTAAGGCTAGAGCCTGCAAAGCACCAGGCGGCAGGTGCTTGTTTTCTTGCTGGACCTCACCCTCTGGTCTTTGAATCTTCTGTGCTCCCTGTTATTAATGATTCTGGGATCCCGCTGGTTACACTTAATTTAACATGTCGGTCTGACTGGTGCCAGATGAGCTTCTTGGTCCTCCTTTTGACAACTGTGGGCTTCCTAAGGGGCTTGAGGGCAGAGATGATGCCAAGTGGAAGACAGCCGCCACCTCTACAGGCAGCACAAAGAAAAAGTGGCAACAGGCAAGCTTCGAAAGCAATGCTGTGAAGCTGCCATGTGCTCAGTGGCCATCTGAAAGTATCCTCACAGCGTTTAGGAACTTGAATCACAGTTTAAGAGAACTCAATGATTCAATTTAGACAACCAATTCAGTAGGGAATGAGTACTAAAATGGCATGTATCGCTAAGCTTGCTGTAGAATAAAGTCATGTAATATTTAGTTTATAAAGGATGGAAGGGCCCTTAAAAAAAAAAAAAGGCTCTTTAAAAACAAGCTCCCCCAAAGCTAAGCAGATTAAAAAATACCTGGAAGAGAGAAAAAGGGTAGCGTTAAAATTCTCTGAAGCTTCCCAGTGCTTTACCCAATGATTTAATTTCAATGCAAAAACAGAATCTGTCCACTGCAGAAAATTTAAGAAGCTACTGGGTGAAAAACATAAAATAAAAAATAATCATCATTACCATCCCAATACAGTTCTAATTTTTTCAGTTTCAAGAACTTTCTCATGTTACTGGAAAGTGATTAACTTCCCAAAGACTTCCCTCCACACAGCTTTTCAGAAATACATCTGTGGAAAATAAAAATGCAGTTCTGGTGGTGGTTGTCTTGGAGGAAAAAGTGTAAAGCAAAACAGGCAAAATGAATTTCTACAGACAGTATACATTTTTGCTCTATCAATTTCTGTTTTATATGACATCTTTATCACACTAACATGGTAAAAACAAACTAAGAAGCAAAATTAGGAAATGACCATAACATGAGCAGTAACTCAGAAATAATGACTGAAAAACAGAAACCTACGGCAGGAGAGTCAAAGACAAAATCACCCCACTGGCATCTAATACACAGTGTGTTTGAAACTGTGCCAAAGACGCTGAGCCTCTCGCCAGGTGCCTCAGGGAGAACAGACTGCGTCGGGCACTAGATCTATTCCTAACTCTACGCTGTATCTTTTCCAAACTCCCCAAATAGTTTTCCACATGTCTCAGTGTTCTGAATATTTTCTTCCCCAAATGCCAGGACAAGCCTTCGCATCTATAATCCTCACAGTATCTCTCTGCTTCCTTTCTATGTCAAACTATATTCTCATTTAGACAACTGAGGTTTCTATAGTTTCAAGTAACTGCTTAATAGCTGAGATCTTCACATAATGATCATTTAGTCCACAATTTAGCTTCTCCACAATCCTTCTGGTAAGAGGAGCAATTAGTGATAAATATTACCAATTTCTCAGAGACTCCCTTCAGTCACCTTTCCAAACATGAGTCACTTTTCTACCACCCTTTAATTTTTTAAAAGAATTATTACTTTACTGTAATATTTTTATTTTGCATAGAAGAACCGGGTTATAAGCCAAAGGTGTCGGGAGTGAGAGGATTCATCAGACACAGACAGGGGAGCAGAACAGGCAGATCTATTGAAATACAATGTTATGGGGAGCAATAGGTGAGAGAGGAGAGGTCTGCTGCGCCACGTGGGTCAGCTCCCCGGCTGGGGATCAAATTCAGATCATCGTGGTGGTAGTGCTGAGTCTTAACTCGTAGGCCACCAGGGAGGCCTTACTCTTTTATCTTTTCAAAACAAGCAACACAATCAATAATCTCATTTATCTGCTAATATGTCAGTCTGTCTTTCCCTGTCAGAAGGTTAAGTCCTTATTCACCCCTGTATCACCAGCACCTAGATCACTGCCTGACACATAAGGATATCAAAAGAAGTTATCATTACATCATAAATGTATCATTACTGTTACAATATATGATGCAAGGACCTTTCTTCAAATATCTCTAAGTTGGTAATTTCTCTTAATAAGCAAATGAACACTGATTAAACCAGAAAACTAAAAGAAAAGCTCGATAGCACAATATCTAAACAAAGCATTTTGATTATTGTGGCTAAACACAGTAACTGCAGCCACATCTTTTCAAACAGAACCAGAGACTATCATAATATGCTTGAGCCACTTTTTAGCAGACAAAATGTGTTTTCTCTAGACATCAGGAAACCATTTTAAAATGTTTGAGCGATGATATTAAGCAGAACGGAAACTCACCATTGGGAAATTGTGAAGAGGCAAATCTTGTCAGTAATATGCCAGCTCCTTCAATTAAAGCTAGGAGAATGCCACCCATTGCAGCTGACCCAACCATGGCCACTGGTCCATCTGAAGACAGTAACAACAAAGGTTACGATGTTAGAAATAGTTTTATGTAAGATGTAGTCAAGAGTCATCTACCTGGCTACTCCCTCTTTCCCACTGGTCAAGAACAAAAGTCAAAACGATAGCCTGCACAGCAAATTCAGCTCACTGCCCGTTTATGTACATAGTTTTACTGGAACACACAGCCACGTTCATTTATTTATGAATGGCTGCTTTTGGGCTACAGCAAAGTCAAGCAGTTGTACAAAGATCTCGTAACCCACAAAGCCTAAAATATTTGTCTTCAATGGCAAAGTTTGTCTTCAAGGGCCTAAACCACTAAGCCTAAACGAATTCTGGATTACTCTCTGTCCCAAAGACCTCACAGATAATAGTTCTAAACTATTTCTAAGAATGCTATGTGCAGGTGTGACTACTTTTTAAGGTTTATTTTTATTTATCTATATATACAAAAACTGGGGTGTAGGCCAAAGATGTGGGGAACAGTATAGGTGGAGTGACTGAAATACACTGCTGAGGGGAACAGCAGGCGAGACAGGAGAGTTCTGCAGCGCCATGTGGCTCGGCTCCGTGGCTGGGGACTAAACTCATGCCGCAGTGGCTGGTGATAGCTTAGTGGTTTAAGATTTAACTCCAGCATCATCAGGGAGGCCCTAAAGGAGTGATTTTTAATTGTAGAATACAGATGAGAAAACCATCAATGTTTGGTAAACTGCCCAATCAGTTAGTAAATGAAAGCAGGAGCTGAACAACTCACAGAGGATAGTACTCCATAATCTCATTCTCATATATTCCAAATACAGTCCCTTACTTTCCCCCACCAATCGCCATATACATTCCTATTATACCCAGTTAAGCAATGTCTAGTTGTGTAAGTCACAGATGTCATTTAATCAAGGCATGAATTTCCCCAAAAGTCTTGCTTTTGCTAGTG